AAGTTAAATTTTGACAATGCATTATTATATTTAGATAAGAGCCGTCCAGTGTAGACCATATTCCACAGGGACTCATGGAAAGAATGGACCGAGCCGTACGTATATTTGAAGTTCCAGTTTCGAAAGGATATGCTCTTGTTTCACTCCTGCTAATACCATTCCGAACCCAAGCAGAGTTGCTTTTGGAGCAAAAGTATAAGAAAAGATTCATCGTGCCGATTACCCAAGTTGGGCTACATGTAAGGAGCGCTACTCCAGTAACTATTACCCGATGCAGGGAATATTATTATTGTAATAAGAAAACATCTGTTGTACCCGAGATAGGGTTTGTTGCCCTTGTGGAAAAAAAAATCTTGAGGAATATTACTTGAAGGAAAAATAGGTGGTTCTACCAATCTTACCAGAAAAAATCCAAAACAGGGTCAAAGTTCTAGGGCACTGGGCCCACAGATTCAGAGTAGTATGAAACAAAAGAGGTCGTCTCGATCTCGTTATAGTCGATGTGGGAAAAGACAAAAGAGGTTCAGGGGCATGCCAATATGGTTCTAGTGTAGGCTATCAGTGTGGTGTTGTTGACCACAAGGAGATGAATTACCCAAAATTCAAACAAAGGAGCAAAAGTGTTATTACTCAGCCTTCAAGGTCAACAACAGTATTATCAGCAGTACCTTCCCTAGGTCATGATCTTCAAGTACCAGCATTTCTAGATACATGTAGGCGTAAAGAGCAGGATTGAGCAGAGGTTAGACCCATATGTCAAAGTTGAATGGCATTGACAAACATCGGTGTGGGTATATTGACAGTTATCTGTTGTTTCCCCGGGTTTGTATGGCCTGTTATGATTTCTTGAACGTTTAGAAAGTTTGGGATTACACATTTTTTTTCTTCTTATAAAAGATATGTATTTTCCCTGTTATGATTGTCTTGTATACTGAGAACTTAAGGGGATGCGACCTTTTCCCTTGCATACTAATTTTCTTTTTATTGCTAAAGAGGATATATTTTACTTGAATACTATACGCTCATTTTTCCGTAAAAGAAGCAACAAATAAGATTTGATATGGATCATGGGGAAAATGAAGCAGGGAAGGAACTTTTAGTCCAAAAAAAAAAGAATTTAGGACTAATGGTGGTAGGATTTTATGAGTAATGACTAATATTGGTAGTATTTCATAAATTAATTAATATTGATAGTATTTTTGCTCTAAATAAACTGTGTAATTTTCTCTATATTCAGTGCACTATGCACCACACCATTTGCTTTGGTATAATCTTTTCCATTTTCTAAGCATCTACAGAAAGCCTAAACCCCTAGGATTGCATGTAATAAATTTTTTATCTGCAGTTAACATCTAAACAAATACAATAAAATATCATGTGTCAGTAATTTTTACTTAAATGTTAGTATCACTTAGGTATAACTAATACTCCGTAGCTAATTAATAGTAGCATATTTTTTAGGAAAAAGGTTCAAATTTACCCCTCTACTATAGTATATAGTTTATATTTCTCGCTCGTTATAACTTACCCTAGCCCTAACGACCCTCCACTGTAGCAGTCGACCCCTGTCATATTTTGTCAATGTCAGCATCCTAGTCAGCAGATCCTACTAACTTATAAAGGCATAACTCCATAAACTTGACCCATTCTACCCAATTGACCCAAGTGTAGTTGGTGGACATGCCTTAAACTACCATTTCCACCACCAGAATCGCTACTAATTCGTCCCCAGCAAGAAACCTATGAAGAAGATGAGCTATTAAAAGTTGCAGCAACTAAGTACACGGTCCCTGCTGTTACTTAGCAGAAGAACTCACAAAAAAAGAAAGTGAAAAATAGGCAACACTAACTGATTCCTTTTACTATTTTGAAAATAATGTAAAGATTCTCATTATTCTCTAGATTTTAAATGAATCCATCAGCTTACGGAAGAAATTTGCTGCAAAACAAAAATTCAACTCAGTGTGATTCACCCATCAACCCAGAAAACAAGATGGAAACAAATGAATAAGCAAGTAAATTTTAGGAAGACTAGAGATCAATGAAAAGAGAGAAACACTTCTCTTGTTCCTCCTTTTTTTGGATTCTTTTTTCTGGGGGTTGGGGGTTGGGGGGAGAGCTCTTTTCTCTCGTCTTACATATATCAGAAATTCCTTGGAGAGTGCACCACTAACTTGAATACAGTACTACACTTTGCATAAAGAATATCACAAACAGTAGAAAGGATTCGAAGGCCTCCGATTATTCCAAGACTGTTATATGGATGAAAAAGGTAGGAAGGGCAATTGAGGGGCAGGGCCGGCTCTAACGTGACGAGGGGTAAGGCACACAAAGGCTCCATTTAAAAAAAAAAAAAAAGGTTTATAGGTATTTAAAAAATAATATTTAGTATTTTTTAATAAAAATTAGAGTTTTTAATATAAAAAAAAATAGAGCTCTTTAGATATGTAAATAAAGTAATAATTTGACATATTTAAAAATGGATAGATGAATAGTTTTCGCAACGTTTCAGTTTTACTCCTTCATTAGATAATATATACAAAAATTAACTCTCCGTTTCTTAATATGTCCAAGTCAATCATTCTTTTCTCCACTCTCTTTATATTTCAGAAACCCCTATATATTTTCTGTCTTTCTCTTTAATATTCTTACTCACCTTCTTTCTTCAATATTTCATTACTCACTTTATTTCTACAAGATTTCATTAGCTCCACTGTTCAACATTACTTTTAAACTTCCAATAATTCTATACTTCTATTGCTCTATAAAATATTACTCCCTCCGTTCCAGTTTATGTCAACTTATTTCCTTTTTGGTCCGTTCCAAAAAGAATGACCCATTTCTAAATTTGAAAATAATTTATTTCAAACTTACAATTCTCCCTTAATGAGAAGCTTTTATAACCACACAAATACTCTGAGCCCTTTTATGACTTGTTTAGGACCACAAATTCTAAAAATCTTCAATTTTTCGTAAACTCCGTGTCCAGTCAAACAGATTCACATAAATTGAAACGGAGGGAGTATCTAATATCAACAATATCTCAAGAAAAATTAAATGAGCTGGCTATATTATCAATTGAATAAAGATAATTAGAGAAAATCGATTATAAAAAAGATTATTAACAACTTTGTATTTCAAAAAGTTAGAAGAATATATTTCAAATAAAACGTATGTTATAACTATCTTTTAAAAATTTAGGCCCCATATTAAACTTTGGCCTTATGCCCCGCATATCCTTGAGCCGCCCCTGCTGAGGGGTCACTAGAGGTAATGCTAGAGTTTCGACGGCAGAGGCGGTGCTACGGCGGAAACAGGTTTTGGGGTTAAAGGGCTCATGCGATGAGTAGCTCGGTAGTGGAAATGGTGGTGTAAAGCAGGTCCAACGATAATTGGGTCAACAGGTAGAATGGGTCAAGTTTATGGAGATGGATCTTATTAAGTTGGTAGGACTTGTTGACTAAGATGCAGACAAAAAATTAGAGGGGTTGACTGCTATAGTGGAGTGACCGTTACAACTAGGATTAATTATATCAAGTTTGTTAATGGTAGGGGGATGGACAAAAAGTAGAAGGGAAAAAGGTCCAATATACTCCTCTACTTTGGTATATTGTTCACATCTACCATCCGTTATACTATCGGGACATATCTATCCTTATCGTTAGTCAAACTTTTCAAAAATGCCCTCCACCTAACGGAGAGTCACCAAATTAATACATATTTTCTTAAAACCTATTAATAACCCGTTAAACCCCTTTTATTTACTGCACTTCTTCCTTGCATATTAATCATCTCCTTCGTGTTCACTTGTTGAACTCAAGAAGTGAAAAACATAAAAATACTGGTAACCATATATTCATTTATACATTGAGTCTCAATTCTTTTAATATCCTTATTATATTCTACCTTTTTCAATTTTCTTTTTTCTTCTAGTTTCTTACTTTATTTTTTCCACCATGCCGAGTTGTACCGAGTATTCATCATGATTTTCTTTCCACCATGACTTAAATGTTTATAGCATCTTATTAGATTGCCAGTTCTAAAATCTTAAGGCAGCTACCGAAGTACTTCTTCCTCCAACAGTGAGCCTTTGTTGATGAGTATTCATGCACCATGATTTTCTTATTTTGCTTTAAGCATTTGGGCAACAAGTAATTATTGCCAAATTACGCCTTAAGAACTAAAGTTAGATTCCAAGATATACGATGGGATACTCATAATATTTAGTAACAATTGAACTTATAATCAACAAAAATTAAAAAATAATTAGAGAAGATTCAATTTAATATCAAGTTACAGTCCAATGAATTCATCAAGAATGAAAGAAAGTACACCAACAAGTTGAAAAGTAACTTAACAACCTAAGTACACTACCTTCATGTATTAACCAAATACAAGTATTATTAAAATATATATCAGTTGTTACCAACTTACAAACCAACTATCAAGTGTGTTACATTAGACAAAGGGATGCCATATTATAATCACACACAAAAAAAAAATCCGAAAGTGATAACATGACATCCTAATGCCACCATGAACAACTAATAACCAAAATATAAGTTCTTACTAATCATACTTCCACCACCATTCTCGGTCTCTCTCTAAATGAATAAAATGCGTTAAGAGTATGAGAAATCTAGGTTTCGTATTTTTAAATGATGGGTTTAACGGGTTTGGGTTAATAAATTTTTTTATAAATAATTATTTTATTAATTTGATGGCTTTTCGTAGGGTGGAGAGTATTTTTAAAAAGTTTGACTAACGGTAAGGATACATATGACCCGATAATATAACAAAAAATAAATATAAATAATATATTAAAATAGAGGGATATATTTGGCCCTTTTCCCAAAGTATAATGGGGCAAATGTTAACAATATACGGCCGAACAATATATCGTAGTAAATTGGTATATGCACCTTTTCCCTATTTTGTTTTTATCATCATAAGATAAAATATCTCAAATAAAATAGGAGTCTTTTAATAAAAGAAAGTAGTGCATAATTTGGTAGGTTGACATCAGACAGTCTTATTCTTACTTTCCCTTTTCCACGACAGTCTTCAAATCTGTACAGAAATCTCCCTTCAATTGCTCCGCCCTACTATATACATACATGCTGTATGCGTACTCATTGATGCTTGGCGTGTCGCAGAATTCGCGAGTAAAAGATTCAAGATTTACGTGGTGAAATGAGAGGCGCAGATTTTAAGTGGTAAGTTCTAAAATCTTTTACCGTTTTCACTGTAAAATCATAATTCAAGATTTCTGTTTTATTATATGTATAATATGGTGTTCTATCGTATCAAATTTTGACTTTATCGAGTATATTTGGTGTTGAATTACGATTTTTGCAGGTACGATGGGTTCTTCTTGTCAATGCTAGCAACTAGTATGTATCCTTTCAATATTCATACTGAGAGTTAAATATTCGAAATTGGAATTTCGACGGTTGCTGAATTGGGTTCTCATCTTTAGTTTCATTGGCTAGTATCTTGGTGTTCTTGTTTTTTAATTGTTTATCTGGAGTCTTTTTTTTTTCCTTTAACTGTTTGTTTATTAGAATCATTGTAGCGATCAATTGGAAGCGGTACCATCTTTGTATATACCCTTTGCACATTTGGATTGTGGTGAGTATCAAGATGTTTAATTGAATAACTATTGAATCAATGATTTGTTTATCTGATATTTGGTTTAGTAGTATTTTTGGGAATACTCAGTTTTTTCCCTTTTCCTGATCCAGGTTGACTACACGACAGTGTTTCTTTTCCGGCTCTTGATGTTTGTTGATAATGGACTTGCTGCTGGAATGGGATTGTAAGGCCTCCTCTCTAGGATATATATATTTTAATTTTTCTTTGGAAAAATCAATTCTAGTCTTCTCCTTCAATCTGAGCTAATTTTAGGAGTTTTCCTTCACTAGGAGGCCTCCAATTTTGTTATCAGTGACTTAGTGTTACTGAGGTGGTTGATGATGTTCTCTTTTGTGCATATAATATGAATACCTCCTAGAGTTGTTACTCTGATTGGGTCTAGTATCCTTTTTGAAGAAAAATAATTACATTTGATGTCCAATTCTTGCACCTTTTTGTCAAAAGCTCGGACTAATGGATGGAGTAAATTAGTTAGTAAGGTTTTATTAAATCCTTTTCGATCAATATATGGATCTTATGGTCATTTCCTCACCTGATATTAGTCATGGTTTCAGATAACAAGGACTGAATTTTTGGTGTTAATAAAATTTTAGGGATTTGGGTTGGCAGCAGAGATATACTCGCTTTCGTGGAAGAATAGTTGTTCTTTCAATTCTTGCCCTGTTCCTGTATCCCTTTCTTTGGGCTTGGACCATTATCGGGACTTTATGGTTCAGTAGTGCGAGAAACTGTGTAAGTTCACGTAAGACTTCATTGACTTTAGGTGTTCCGGTCGGAAATCCTAAAATTGATATGATGTTGAAATCTTTCAGTTGCCAGAAGAAGGTCAAAAATGGGGTTTCCTTATTTGGTTGCTATTCAGCTACTGTGGACTCCTTGGCATAGCTTGCATATCAACTGGGAAGGTTAGTTTCCTGAACTATAAACTTTTTCAAGAAGTTTAACCAATTACCCGATTCAGTTTGGACAACTATGTTGCCCACCTCTTCCCAAGAAACAGATAAGTGCTAACAAGGACAGTAACGTTCAACACAGCCCAATTTCTAATTCTTTCTTGAGGCAATCTTGTCGTCTGTACACAAATAGAAGTACAGTTTAACAAATGACACTTATGCATTTGTATCGATATCGATACCATATCTATTAAGTTTCAAGTTTCTCTCTGCAGTGGTTAACTAGAAGACAAGCCCATTCATTACGTGCTCAACAAGGAATTCCTACTTCTGAATTCGGGGTATGCTTTAGAATCTATGTTCTATCAAAGCGACTATTTTGACATGCATATACAAATAGCTGTTGATAGTAGGTTGTTCTTTCTTTATTTTATTATCACTGTTATTTTTTGCTACAATTTTGTAGTGACTCTTACAATATGTCCATATTAACTTAATTTTGCCTTTAAGGTTCTTGAAATTCCATTTTCTTGTCTGGAGGTGAGAAAATAATGATTGTAGCATGCATTGCAGTGGCGAAGCCAGGAATTTTGCTAAGAAGTGTTCAAGATTTAATATACGTGTATAAAAAGTAATTTTCGATTCATATATGCAATATAATTTCTTATATACACAGTATAATTTTTTGATGAAGGGTGTTCAACTGACCACCCTTCATTGTATGTGGCTACGCCATTGATGCATTGATTGCCTTGCTTTTGTACTTGTATGGGTGCTCCCATTTGATTTCAGAATTGTGGGCAGTGAAGTTTCCAAAACCGCCTTCCACCGCCCCCCTCGCGTAAAGCTATTAATAATTCAAAGGAAAAAGGAAATCAAAGGGGTATACATTTTTCTAATATCTCATGGGGATTAATGCACTTCAATGATATTCAAATTTATTTAGGTTTCTGAGTCTACTTATCTATGATTTGACGTCGGTAAAATCAGTGTTATCAAAGGCAAAAAGCGCAAAAAAGCTCTAAGGTCTGTTGGGCTTTAAGCGCAAAGCGCAAATAAAGCATGGGCTTTAATGAAGAAAGGCGCAAATGGAGAAAAACTACAAATATGTATGTGTAGTCCAAGACTAATATCCATAACCATGAATACCAAATATATGGACAAAGAAATTGAAGAAAGTTTACAATAAAGTGAAATATCAATCGTTTAATGTCGCCTCTTCCGGATTACGCTCGTTAGCAAGGAAAAGTATGCCTTAGAGCCTTGATGACAACACTGAAGCACCCATTAAGCGAAGCGAAGCGCTCAACATGTTCTGAGCCTCGCTTTAGGGCTTAAGCGCGCCTTTGATAACACTGGGTAAAATTAGTTGTCGCCCAATACAAGGAAGAGATAACATGGATCTTTCTTGGTGCTTCTGTTGAAGTTTTGAGCTAGCAACTGTCTCAAAGAGCCACTTAAGTTGATGGATTCATATAGCTTACCCAACTAGTTCGGGATTAAGGCGTAGTTGATTGATTGAAATTTGTAGCAATTAATCTTATTAAGGTGCAAATGTAGACCTACTAAAAGAATGTGTCTGCAAGTAGTGCCCTTTTTTGAAGAAAATTTTAATGCACAAACAATTCAAGAATATGATGCATAAACTTAATCATGCCATAACTGACTTGAGCACGAAATCAAAGTGCTTTTGGAAAAATAGATTTACGGAAACATCCTAGTACTTGTGCCACACGAACTGCTACTGCACCTGTCTGTCCGTTCCTTCAACACATTAATGGCTGTGCTCTGTAGTTGTCGCTTTTATATCTCTACCGTTTTGGTTATGATGTCATGGTCTTGTGGATCTTGTTGTACAGTATCGATCTTGATAAGCATGTGACATTCTTGGTTAACTAATGGTCTCATCTTAAGGTTCAGATGGTGGTTGCATTTCAAGTCATTTTAGGACTAGGACGATAAAATTCTGAGTGGCCTTACACTGTTACCTCAAAAAAAAAATTAAAAAAAATTGAGTGGCCTTACTGGATATATACTATTTCTGCTGGGAGATTTACAATTAAATAGAAGTGTTAGTTGTAAGATCTTTGGCATGTTAAAATCTAATAAATCTATTCACTCATCAGCGGTACTAATGAAGGGGAGCCTTGTCGTAACTGGTAAAGTTGTTGCCATGTGACCAGGAGGTCACAAGTTCGAACCGTGAAAACAGCCTCTTACAGAAATGCAGGGTAAGGCTGCGTACAATAGATCCTTGTGGTCCGACCCTTCCCCGGACCCCGCGCATAGCGGGAGGTTAGTGCACTGGGCCCATCAGCATTACTAATAATTTTGTTTCGGTGAACTAATTTTAGGAAGACTTTTATAACGACATCAAGAATGAATTCAAATAATTTAAGCTATTCCGATTTCCGATTGGCTTTATTTCTTCTTCTATACGCTAAGTGCAACTGGAATCTATGACTAACTTTAGGTTTTAGAGTTTTGAACTTTTGTAGTGTTTGTCCCACATTGGTTGAGGGTATAGGCTTACTATTGGGCTTGAGTTAGGTCCAAGATCTATTTTTTCTTAAGATTGGATTATCCGATGTTGGGCTCCCAGACCCATCCTTAATGTTTTGTTCTTATGTTATATTATCCACGCTATAGACGCCCAAGCATGAGATAGTCCCACATTGGTTGAGGATATAAACTGTCGTCTCTTTATTGGCTTCGGACAATCCTCACCTCATGAACTAACTTTTGGAATTGTGTTGAGACCAAGGTCAACTTTTCTTAATAACAGAGTTTGACATCAATAATAGATTTGCTGATTTTGCTTTTCATAGAATGATTTAGTAATTAGATATTTTTTTCTATTTACATGCTTAACATTTGTCTCAACACAGGTGTTGGTTGACATGATCAGAGTGCCAGATTGGACGTTTACAGCAACAGGCCAGGAGATGAGAGGGATGGGCCAAGATGCTACTTCATACCATCCAGGAGTTTATTTAACCCAAGCTCAGGTAATAACAATTTACTATCAACAGCTGGAGCAAGTGCTCGGCATAAATATCCATGCTACACCTGGTCAACAGAAGACCTTTTGTCTCATCTTAAACTGGTGTTGTTTCTTTATTCGGCACACAGAGAGAAGCAGTGGAAGCACTCATTCAGGAACTACCAAAGTTCAGGCTAAAGGCTGTTCCTACTGACTGTTGTGAGTGTCCTATCTGTTTGGAAGAGTTTCGTGTGGGAAATGAGGTAACTGTGTCTTTTGTGTAAATACTACTTCATTGTACTTTCCTTTAAAAAAATAGAATTTATGGTACACCCTTTTTCTTTCTTCATGCCCTTAAACATATTGCTTTTACAGAGGTTATTAACGTTTTGTATATCATTCTCAAGGGTTTTCAAACCATACCATGATGTAACGTATCTAGCAAATTTAAAATTTACCACCTAGCCATTGATCTAGCCCTGTAATATATATGGAAGTCAAATTATTTCCTTAATATCCTTATGGAGTGGATTATATGTCATTGTGTGGGACTGCTAGAGAAATGAACTAGAGGTACCTCATTTTCATTTAATGGTCCACATCCCCATCTCACTCTGAGAAAAAGCTAAAGCTTAACTGATGAGAAAGGACGATTTGTTTAGGTTCATTGTAAGGTTGTGCCTGCTCTATTCACTGATTTTTAGGTTTTTGTAACTTAACAAAGATGGCAGTTCTTTATCGAAAACAGAATTGATTATTTAATGACTCGGCCTGCAGTTGATTATACTTGAGCAAGGGATATCGGATATTGCGGTCGTTGAATGAATGCTGATTTAAGTTATAACTTATATAATCATAAGCAGAGACAAGTTTATTTCATGTTTCAATATGCTATCCCTATTTCCCTTTAGCCCTTCTTGCTGTGTCACAGGGATGGTAGTTCTCCTAGAAAGTCAACCTTATACCAGTATGATATTTTATGCGCACACAGCTTACATCCGTGCTCAGTTTAGGCGCTAGTGCCACCTTTTCTTACTACAAGATCATATGCAGGTTCGTGGTCTGCCTTGTGCTCACAACTTCCACGTGGAATGCATTGACGAGTGGCTTCGGCTAAACGTGAAGTGCCCTAGATGCCGCTCTTCTGTTTTCCCAAATCTTGATCTAAGTGCTTTATCCAATATCCGAGCTGACTTAGAGAGGTCAACAGCCAGCGTTGTGACAGAAGCCCGGTATATGAGATCCCAACCCTCCAGCCAGAGCTACCTGCTGAGATTGCAAGGTTTGCTCCGCCCAGTGCGCACACAGGACGCTGGCGTGGGCAGTGAGGTAGATGCAACTTCAGGAACAGCTGAAAGCAGAAACCAAGCATTGACACCTCATCATCAGGGAAACATGGAGCCTGCACAAGTTGTCGTAGAACAGTCCCCAAGGGTGTAATAACCATTTCTTCTATGGAGGTCCCTAACAGGCTGAAATGTCTAACTTGGCGATTTGTAACAACTCCTAGCCATTGTTGAGTGTTCCAACATTGGTTTCTCATTGTAATCAAAATTCATGGATTGAAAAGCTAAAATGCATTTGATGGAAGGAAATGTGGTGGCAATGATTTATGCTCGTGGCGAGTTTGTTCTGGTATGAGTTAGTTTAATAATCTCCCGAACTCTCTCTCATATATGTTTGTTCACAACGAGTTTGATCCATATTAGCTTAAAAAATCTTGCACAGTGTTTGTTCTGTGTCTTTTTTGTCAATGCTATGAAATAAATGAACCTTCTAAGCTGAATTTCAATCAGTAAAAGTTTAAAAAAAAAAAAAAATCAGTAAAAGTCGAAGTCTGGTTGTTAATTGTAGTACTAGTATTAGTACCCATGCGAAGACATAAACTCGAATTATGTGCAAATAATTTTAAAACTAAACCTTCTATAGAGAAATTATAAATTATTATTAGATATTAATTAAGAAGCAGGACATGAAATCATTTTTCAAATCTCTTAGTGGATAATTTGTTTTCTTTTTGTATATTCGTAATAATCCAACCCCTTGATTTTGACACTTATATTATATTTTACGGTAAATATTAAAGAATATTATACATGTAACGTTGTGATCTGTTTTGTTTGAGCACATTAAATTCTATTATTTTAATAAAATTCTTACTACCACTTTATTTTTATCTCAAATTCAAATAGGCTTATCCTTCTACATTTTTAGACATAATTGTTTTCTCTTGTTTGTTCCTTGCTTATAGTTTTTGCATTATTTATTACTTAATATTATTATAATATAATGTGATCTTTTTCTAGTCTTGTTTATTACCCTTTTATTAATCATCAATAAATGTAAAAAAATTTATTCTTGAAATTTAATGTATTTTTATACTATTATTCTCATACTCGAATCTCTTTCATCATTTAAATCTATTAATAATATTTTTGAGTATTATTTAATAATTTAATTATTTATTTTTAATAAATTTAAAAATATAAGTATCCTCGCACTATCTGTCACGACCCAAAATCCACCGGTGGTCGTAATGTCGCCTAACACCGCCGTCAAGCAAGTCAACAATGATTAGTCAACTTAAATTACTCATTCTAGTACCTTAAAATCATAATTTTTTATTAATGAAATAGTGTGAAATAGAATTTACACGAACTATAATAGCGAATAACCTGTAGGAACCCCCAAAATCCGGTGTCACAAGTGCATGAGTATCAACTAGAAAATATAATAAAATACAATATCTGTCTGGAATACAAGTTAGACAGAAAAATATAAATAACTCTGACGGAGACTCTGCAGGCTGCGGATCGTAACATGAAATGCAGCTCACGGTAAAGTTCCCAAAATGGCCGCGCCTCTGGGCCCAAAGACCACCAGACATATGCCTACCAGCACAAAAAGTGCAGCAAGTGTAGTATGAGTACGTAAATCAATGCGTACCCAGTAAGTATCTAGCCTAACCCCAGAGAAGTAGTGACGAGGGGTCGACATCGACACTTACTAGTGGTCCAATAAGACAGATATAATAGAAGTAAACAAATGTGAATTAGAGGAAATAAACGAAGTAACAAACATAACACGTGGTACAATCCTCCACTCAGCAATAACTCAAACTCTCAGCTAGTAGCTACCTCCTCAATCGGAGTATACATAATGGACCTTACCAGATAGGTCATCGCAGTTCAATCAGGAAAAGCTCATAGATATGCTGACTTTTTGCCAATTATTACGCATGGTTTCATAAAAGTATTTTTATAGAAATTCAGAGGCATACGACCCGATCCATCATAACATTGCCAAACCATAAATACATCTATTTTATTGCCGAGGCGAACGGCCAGCTCCCATGAGAGTGTGGTACATAAATTCTGCCGAGGCGTACGGCCCGATCCATTATAGTGTGAGCATTGCCGAGGGTCGAACGGCACGAACCATAGATGTATCTATCATGCCGAGGCGAACGACCCGATCCCATTAGAATAAGAAGTTTTGACGGGTCCTTGACCCCACTCATGAATAGTTGTGTGAGTTATAGATCTTAAGGGAACCTTTCGATGAGAACGCATAACGCGGGAGAATTTCTTAAGGAGAGTACAATTAATCTGCGGCTTATCATGAAGCCCGTCGAATCTCTACGATAGGAAGTCACTCACTCTACATAAGTCTAGTCTCAAGTCGCAACGTAATATGAAGGAGTTTAATAGGCAAGAGACAACTCAAATAGTATAGTTATAGCATGGCAGAAACCTAAGTCTACCGGGACATAACATAAATGTATCTACGCACAGAATCTCGTCACATGGTGCGTACGTAGCCCCCACAGCAAGTAACACATAACAAATACATCACCTAGGGGTAGTTTCCCCCTCACAGAGTTAGACATGAGACTTACCTCGCTCCGAAGGTCCATAACCGGCTCCAACGTCCCTCAACCGCCTCAAACCAAAGCCCGTTGATCCAAAACTATTCAGACAAATGTGCAAACCAATCAAAATATACTCCAATACCCATAATTGATTAATTTATATTAATTTCCAACTCCGCTCGAAAAGTCTATAAAATCAACCCTCGGGCCACGTGTCCGGATTTCGAAAATTTTCGAAGATAAACTTTACCCATAACACCACGAACTCAAATATATAACTTATCCCAAATCCCATGTCCAATTTTGTGGTTAAAATCTAAAAATACCAATTCTAGATTTTCTACCAAAATCCCACAATTTCTACTAATTTCCATGCTATAATCCACATATAAATCATATATTTAACTTCTAATAGGTGGGAATCACTTACCTTATGTTGATTGATGAAAATATCCCCTTGAAGCTCTCCAAAAATCGCCCCAACCAAGTGAAAATGGGCCAAATCCCGTTTTTATAAAAACATCTCTGCCCAGACGACCTTCTGCTTCTGTGGCCTTTTAGCCGCTTCTGCGGCTCCGCACCTGCGGACATTCCCATCGCAGGTGTGGCTTTCCATTTAGGCATTTGTTATCAATTGGGCATCGAGGAGTTGTAGTGGTACTGCAGACGTGGTGCAGGAAGTTTTCCCCGCATGTTCGGGCAGGCTATTATCATCGTCTTGGGGAAGGATGTTCTTTTATTCCAGCTCAGTATCTGTATTTTCCATGGTTTGGAGACCGTGCACGGATTGCTATGATGTCTATGTGTTGTTATCATACAATGATGGCGTAATGGTAAGATGCTCATTTATGTGTTGAGGCAGTGAATGGCTTGAAGAGAGGATCTCTCAGTGCATGATTAAGGGGTTCAACATTTAATTCCAATAGAGGAAAGGCAAGCAGATTATAGATGTCCATGTTTGGTTGATAAAGTACCGAGACTGGATATTTTCGAGCGTGGTGGAATTTACATTATGGTGCGGTGTCGCCGTCCTTGTTTGAACGCACTACGGTTCGCGGGTGTTACAGTTTTCTTTGATTTTTGCCTTCAAGGCAGGGTGTTGCGAAACAGTGCCTAAGACGTGGTTGTCAGAGATAGCGGTGTGTAGCGGCTCTGAATTGAATTGGTATTTCTAATGTCGATAGCTCGAGGGAGATGATCTTCTAGGAAGCTTAGAGTTGGTAACATTTTATTGGTTCAACTGCTACATAGATGTATTTTTTATTTGATTCAACATTTGGGCAGCAAAGTATAAGGGAAGACATGGCGGGAAGTGTTACTAGCAGGTTAAGTATGAGAAGCAGAGGTTGAGAAGTTGTTTAAAGGAGATGGTTTAACCGAAGTAAGAATGGCGGATTAGCAGATGGATTCTATGGTAGGATAGCCGCGTACCTTGTGAAAGTGTAAAACAGTTTGGGAATCATGATGGAAGGTTATTTGGCCTACGGATTTTATTTAGAATGGTGGTCACAGTATGAAGAAATATTGAATATGACAGAAAAGAGTTTGCCTGGAATGAAGAGGGGTGTGGGGATTTGATTATCGTTCCATATGCAATATGACTTGAGTTCAGAAGGAATTGTTGAACTTTCAGTTTATGTCAATAGGGAGGGACCAGACTTATATAGCTGGTGGGCGAGCGTGAGCTCAGGAGGATTTACTGATTTTGTGGTAGTTATACTCAGTGCAGCGCCGTTGGGAGATGTCGGTAAGGAATTCCACAAGTGGATTATCTCCTATAAGCAGGTTAGTGGTTGCGTGATGTTGATGAAGCTTCTGCGAAGAATTCTACTTGCTACCTAGTAAGAGGTCGAATATGCGATTATGGCTGATAATTCGAGATGTTCATGAAAAGTTTAATAAGAACCTACAAGAACTTTGGCGGTTAACGATATGGGATCATGGTAAATGAGAAGGAGGATATATTGTGGGATCTACATTATGTGATGGTAGTTTAAAGCTAAGTGGGGGAGCCCCACCGTCTACGATTGGATTGCGTGGTTGTATGCTTGTGCGGTTTATGGTTATCGATGCACTGGATGATTAATTATGACTAGGGAAAAGGAAATGCCAGAAGTAATTCGAACAAGGAACTCGATGAATGTGTGCTATACTTTGCCTTATCGATTGAGGTGCAAGATTTGGGAAGACTTAGAGTTTATGCTTCTTATGGATGTATTGTACAAGGAAAAGAATTCAGTTCGGTTATGTTCGGGATCAGGTCAGAGTGGGTGACTCTCAACAACGGTCCTAGTGGATTCAAGAATTTAATTTAAGTACAGTGCCTAAGGGTTTCGGGTCCGTTGTGTAGTTTAAGGACCGAGTTTTTGCAGTGGATTGCGAACGGAACTTGGAATGTTCTATGTCATCGTTGGGTATGCAGTGTAGTATTGGAGTAAAGAAAGAAATAGCTTCGGATTCGTGGAAGGTCTTGCAAACTTGGTGTACCAGTTGGAGGTGCTATTGTGCGCTTGAGAAAGGTATGGGGTGGTTCATGGGTATTGAGACTATGTGGTCTCACGGTTCGGGTTACTCGGGATAAGTGCGGGTTGAGTTCGTTACGTTGTGAATTGGGGCTATTATATTTCTACGTTAGGTCAAGAGTAAATTGAAGGGAGTTGGGTCGGTTAGTAATGGATGAGTCGGCATGATTGTGGCAATGATCAGTTCCTTCGGCGTGTGAAGTCATACATGAGGTTTGTGGTTGTACGTGCGGGCTTAACATCCACCATGAC